TTATTTTATCAAATGTAGTTGACAAAATACTTTGCCCTGCAATTAGGAGTTAGGCATCAGGAGAAGATCACCAATTTATTGTTGAACAATGTCAGAGAACTGGAAATACAAAAGCTTATGTGGTAAGTTGAAAGATTTTCAAATTTATATGATTCATATACAAGTTTGTATATATGCTTTACAGATAGATACACGGTTATTTAACTAAATGACCTCCTGACAAGTGTTTTTTATATCCATGACCTTGTGACAGGTATCTAGGCATTCTTGTGTATGGAAGTGGTATTCTTTTGTTAAATAGTGACATTCTCAAACTTGTCAAAAGCCATGAATTTGAAGAAAACCTTTGAGAAGGTCATTTAACCAAAGGACCCGGTACGTGCATGAGTTCCAGCATGGCAGATCAATTTGGGATGACCTCAAACGCATGAGGCAAATTATCGAGTTCTCGGTTCTATTCTTATTGTTTTATGGGAACTTTCTATTAGCACTATGGGTTATTTAGGTGAATAACCTTCTGACACATGTTTTTAATGCATATGACCTTTTGTCATATTTTGAGGCATATTTGTGTTAAGAAGCATTCTTCTGTTAGGCAGAAATTCTTAAATTTGTCGGAAGATCATACGTTTAAACAAAATCTATCAGTTCTTCTATTAGACAGAGTCATTCTTAAATTTGTTAGAAGATCATGCATTAAACAAAATCTATCAGAAGGTTATTCTCCTAAATAACACTTTGCACTATAGTGGACATCTAAGTTCAAGGACATGCTTCTAGGATTTGTCCCACGTAGAGTGGGACAGGACATGACTAAGTGAAACGAAAATGTAGTTTTTTTGTCCCTAGGTGGAACAAAAATCAAGCAGATGGGATAGGATAGGTAAATTACAAAACTACCCATAATGTTAAATTAAAACCTTCCACAATTCTTTCACCTACCTACCTTATTCTTGCAAGTCCAATCCTGTCTTGTCCACGTACCAAATGCATCCAAAGAACTACATAGTCGAAAATGGGTAATTAACTCTATTTTTTTTCCTTCGTTCAAATCTGTAAAATCAGAATTTCGATCAAATCACACACCGCAATATACGAAGAATTTCTTGGGAATCCTACAAGATCCGTTCGTTCTTAACTGGAATCAAAGAATTATTAGATCTGTTCCTCCCAAAATGGTAACTTTTTACGTTGCTATGACCAGTTCTTTTGGTTCCTAAATGTATTTTCTTTATTGATATAAAATCTGCCATCCTAGAGAAGGAAATGCCGAACTGGTGCAGTATCTTGGGATGACAACCATGGTACACATTGACTTCCTCCGGATGTAAGTTTCGGGGTTGTTTGGTTGGTTTTCCATCAAGTCCTGTATGGATAAAGTTGTCGATGTGGATTAATCTGTGTGTATAGAGTGAAAAGTTTTTTGTTAGGAGGGATTTTTCATAAATGGAAGGAGCATGTTCTTTAATTGGGTGGGGAAGATTTGGAAAAAAAAAACTTGGTTTTCTGCATAAAGCTCTTTCCTAGAAGCTTACTGAATAAGCCACTTCCTATATCATTAAGTCACTACCAAACAGTCATGTATAGTTGACCGAATAAGCTGTGAGTTCCATTAAGCTCATTATACATACTCATATACAGAGTTCTATTATTCTGGGCTACAAGATTATATCTAATTCCAAAAAATCCCAATGTTTTGTGGTGATTAATAGTATCAAGGTTTACAATAAGAATCATAAACTTATTTAACTCATAATTCAGTTACATAATCTCTGATTCCAACTTCTAAACATACCAAATAGTTAGTGGCCGTTAAGCGCTTACCGGATTTCACTTACCTTACCAGGTGAGCATGGCAAGAACCTAGAATCTTACTCGGTAAGTGAGCGAGAAGACTCTTGCCCGGTTAGCACTTGCCGGCTAAAAGACGCTTCCCAATAATCTATTTTGATGGCCTAGAATGTCACCCTATAAGGTAAGTGAAGGTGGTGAGTGACTTGCCGGTGAGCACTTACCCAATAAGCGGTTAGTAAACGATCTGATAATGTCTCTTTCTTTTATGCCTATCTATCTTATGTTTAGCACTTCCACCTTTGATACACTTTAAGCTCGTTTTGGATGTCAGAATATAGAGCTGAATGTGTTTGGTATGTTTGGTTTGATTTCAATGGACGTTGAGTGATTGAAGATTCTTTAAAAGGGTCATTGGCCCAATGGTACTCAGAGTTATTACTTGTAGATCCCAACTGTCTGGTGGAAGTAAGTATGAGTATTTACTGCATATAGCTGATTAAATATGTACTTAAAATAAATTCTGTCTGAACGATGATGTTCCAAGGTTGAAAGACATGTTCTTGGATAAAGCCATATTTGCTTCTTTTCACTTCGTTATATCTTAATTTTTAGTGTATATACATACAGGGTTGGGTTCACGTGAGACCAAGAGTTTTTCGTGAGACACGTAAGACCAATTTATGTTCATTGATAAACTTTATAAGCTAATGATCTAATGCTCTGAAGTTGCACGGTGGCAATTTTCTGATTATTGAAAAGTCTCGTGGCAATTTTGTGATTATGAATGTTCAGATTGTAGATCTAATCCAAGAGTTGAGAATTGGTCTTACGGGTCTCATGAAAAACACTTGGTCTCACATGATTTCAAGTCTATATACATATATATCCTAATTTAAATTGTTATATTGTTGACTCATTGTATAATAATAAAAAATATGTGTGTAATATAATTATATATATGATATACAAATTTATGGTCATAGACTCATGTATTGGAAAACGTTATAGTCTCATTGTTACTTCTAAGGCTTGAGATTTGACTTCTTCGTCATGCCTCACTTTTAATATATGGCAAAGCTTACAAACATAGGTTCAAAAAAGATTTCCCCATTCCTGCTATATGCATAATTATTTGTATTAAAATCAGGTTAAATCATTGAAAATGTAAAAAGTAAGTCTTGATGTTGATGTATATAAGGAATAAAATAATAGATAATTGTACATTTAGTAATACATAAGCRTGCATTTAGCTAATATACAATCATCATAAATTTTCACAGTGTGCTTTAATCAATATTTCTCTCAGTTTCTTTGAAATTTTGAATTTACCTCATCGGACAACATTTCCGACCATCAAAATAGATTGTTGGTAAGTGTGTTTTACTTGGTAAGTGTTTTTTTATTGGATACACGTATTTTTCTTACTTATCGAGTAAGATTTTTGGTCCTTGTTATGTCTCTTAATGGATAAGATTTATTGTATTTGTCATGCTCATTTGATAAGATATATGACACCCAATAAGTATTTACCTTTGTTAAATGGTCCCTTATTTATTTGCAACTCCTTATAACATCATCAGCAATTCAGCTTCGGCTAGTGATGCCTTAACACTTTTGTTTTAACTAAAGGTTATTTGCATTTCTTGTATAGTATTATATGTGATTGATTATATAATAAAAAATATTACTGTATTTTTGTAAAACAGAGGTGTTTGAATTTTGCTTATAATATATGTGGACTAATTAATCTATAATTGTGGGGTATCAAGATTTTAAGAATGAGATATAAAAAAAACACCACGAGTCTTCCATAAATAACACATTTTTTGACGAATAATTGGTGTAGCKTTTATGTTATAAAAGGTTAATTTTTATCAGGACCGTCCTTATGTTACTATAAATTTTTTTAGTATTTAATATGGCCACAAAAAGAATTTATCATTATATTAAGGGCCAAACGTGTATTAATTAATTATATTGGAAAAAAAATATGTAAAAAGTTAATTAGTTATTCATTTATAATATTGTTTATTGTTTTTGCAAATCTTATCTACTACTAAAATCTAAAATTACTTTGTCAAGAAAACATTGATATATTATTCATCATATCATTAAATTCATCACCCACTGACTCTTTTGTTTATTCCATTCGCATGAATTCTAATTTTGTATTAGAAGTAGTATGTTTCTTGTTATTGACTAAGAAAACTTCTATCTTTTTTGAGAAAAAAATCATCAATCATATGAGACGATCCAACTTATATTTATATTTAAGATTTCAAAACTACCCTTACTTTTTAATACATTATTGACTTCTTATTACCTAAAATTAAGTRCAAGTAATATTTTAATTTATCTGTAAAATAAGAATAAGATCTCAAACTATATCTAAGATTTTTAGAGATTTGAAACAAGTTCTCTAAAATAGAGAAAATGGTCTTTTGTTCTCTGCTTTGCTCCAAAAGATTCTCATTATTGTTTTTTAAAATAAAGAAAGCTTTTAAGTTTAAAGAATTCTCTAAAACTTGATGTATATATGGAGAGAGAAGTTATTTTTTATTTATTCCCACCAAATGAGATAGATATTTTAATATTAATTTTWTGAAGTGTATTAGGATAATAAATTTATAGAATATTTTAATAATATAATAATTATTGAAACCTCTAAAATAGAGAATTTAATAGAGTTAAATGTAATTTTTGAAAAGTCAGGGCCTAATTCATTAGAATGAATCTATATATTGGTTGTTTGCATTAATAAAAAGGACATGAATGACAACATTGTATTGGAAACATATATACCAAACATTGTCTGTTTTATCCCTAATTTACGGTTTTAAAACGTGTCCTATAAGAAGGTATTCAATCCCTTATCAATCAACATTTGTTTCCCAACTCTAATACCATTTTTAACATCGTTACATCGCCTGTCAATCGTACCAGATATTAGTACAGTCTGGTATTTGGGTTCCTACGGTTCCTGAATTCGGAGAATTAGCATAAAAACTAGACAAGACAAAAGTTGGATCATGGGTGTATCAAAAGAAGTCTCTTTTTTTTAGGGCATATTAGTTACACCATGACATCATCAACCTTTGTTTGAGTTTTTTTACCTTCACAATAAATCAAGCTTTCATATATACATACCTTTTCATTACATGTTAAGACCTCTCTCTCTACAAGTAGATCTTGTTGTGTAGTGTCAAATGGATCACAAGTTTAAAAGCAAATGGGAAAGGAACAACTACTTAATCTTTGATCATAAAGATTATAATGGTTATGATGAAATTTCATGGCGTCAAAGAAACTTCATGTGCAACTTTTGTAAGAAAGAGTACAAATCTGCACAAGCTCTTGGTGGTCACATGAATGTTCACAGAAGGGATAGGGCCAGACTCAGACTCTCTTCACCCTCTCATGATCATCCCCCAAACCCTACCCCTAACCCTAACCCTAACCCTAACCCTAACCCTAATTTCTCATTACCACCATCCTCGTCAATCCGGTGCTTACCCTACAAGACTTGCTACCATTCCTGTATTTTCCCTCTCTCTTCTTCACCATCTTCAACCACAAGCAAAGAAAGCAAACAAGAGACGTTGTTCCCACTCGTACCACATTCGAATTTGGCAAGAAATTTTCTTGGAGGTATGAAAAAGAACATCAATAATTACATGGAGGGGTCTGTGGCAAATGTTAATGGAGGTTTCCATGGGGATTCTTGTGTTGATCAAGAAAGTGAGTTTAGGGTTTGGAAGAAAAAAGAGACTTTTGGGGTGGAAATGGAGATGGGTTTGCTTAAWGATGGTAAGATCGGGATGGACTTGGATTTGGAACTTCGACTCGGCCGATCTGAATCCATTTGATCATATTCAGGGTTTATCATATCATTAGCTATTTAGGGTATGTTAAATTAATTTGGGTTTATCTTTGTTTTTCTTGTTCTTCATCATATGCATTTAGCTTGCATGATCCATCTGTTTGGTAGCCATGGGAATTAATGGAGGATATTGAAGTTATAAGTTTAATTAGTTACTTATTAAATAATGTTCCATCATAATCAAAAACGACCGATTCTCCCTCTATATTATGGGTTTATACATCCTGGTAAATATGAATGAGATGTGAGAATTTAGAACTTTACAAACCGTAGATAATGGTTTCCTTATGAGTATAATTTTCTAGCTAGCATATTATTCTAAAATCTTCTATAATTAACACATTAATTACCGCTATATATCTTTCCTACCTATATTTATATTATATTAGAAAGTATTTGATAAAAACTCTTAAAAACCATCTTTTATGCACGAATTACTGTTTATTGATGCATATTACTTATAATTCAAGATTACAAGTAAATTGTGCATAAGTACAACTTATTAAAACTCCATGTTTGAATTTGTATAACTAATTGTAGATAAACATAATCAAATACAGGATAAACATCTCATTTTTAAATCTAAAAAAWTTAAAATGTAATTTAGATAATCATTATTAAGTCTTGAATTAAAGAAATTACATAAAAATGATAACTTTTAAATAGTTAAATTTGATACTAATATTGATATAATTTTTTCAATTTTTTYATGATATTTTCAAATTTAWATTTTATTCAAAAATAAAAATATTATCGTTTTCTCWAAACAGTATCATATCCGAYAGAGACAASAAATAAAACGATACATTAAAGTCGAGAYATATCTCGTTGTATTGCACGAGTATTGTTCTAGTATTTATAAAACATTTAGGRGGTATTTGGGATTGCTTATTTGAAACAACTTATGTTTTTCTATAAAAACACTTATTAACTTATTATAAGTCAGAAATGTTTRACTAATTCTTCAAAAACTTCTTATTACCGGTTTGACACCGATATAAATTGTTTATCCAAACACTCAAAAGTGCTTRTTACCRGTGTCATACCGGAATAAGTCAATAAGTTGTTWTTATAAGCAATCYMAAACACCCTCTTACTTCATGYTCTTAAAAGATCTCTTAAAATTCAAATTTATAACTTATGCATACAACTTAAAACTTTACATTTGAACTCCATAAAAGTAATTAACTGATAATCAACCTATAAACACGTCATTATAAGACAAACATGCATGGAGCTTTACAAATATGGCAATTATAGTCTATATAAAGTTCAAACTTTTCCATTTTCGGTTTACAAATAAAACTTTATATCTCGTTGTATTGTATGAGTAACCGGACGCAGTAATGTCTCCCAGTTAAGTTTTGGAAATCAATTATTAAAGTATGTTTCACATTTTTATATACRAAATCAATCATTAACAAACTAATAAAATAAAAGGAAAAAGGAAAGTGGGTAATGATGATTGATGTCAGCATTGTATGCTTCTTGAGACAGACATAGCGACTCAATTATACAGACCAAAAACATTTCATGTAAACAGAAATTATGTAAATTCGTAGACCATTGATCATCGTCTAATCTAATTATGTGTGTGTGTATATATATATAGATATAGATATATATATAGAGAGAGAGAGAGAGAGATTCTTGAAATGATATGGATATTAAATTGAAAGGAAATTGAAGGTGAAAGGTGGATATAGAAGGTATGGGCTCAAATATATAAATAGGGTGAAGTTAAATGTTTGATAATGACAATTAAATTGAAGTTTTTGTGGGGTCTGTTTGTGTGTGTATTTCAGTGAAATTTAATGCTCAAAGTCTGATGTGCAGTGGCATGCCTTGAGTCAATGGAAGACTAGACTACGTAGCTAGGGAATAAGAAACATAAGTGTCTACGCATTGATATTGATATATACATACATACATACACTCTCTCTCTCTCTCTCTCTATATATATATATCTATATCTATATATATACACATACTGAGATCAAGATATGATGGCATATCTTTTTCATGGAAAAGAACAAGTTAAAGACTCTTCATGGGATGTTGTTGAAGGCATATTTATGTCAAACCCTCTGTCAACAAATTACATCATATCTGTCCCCCCCCTATCTATCTATATATACCCCTCCCTCTCTCTCTCTCTCTCTCTCTCTCTCTCTCTATATATATATATATATATATATATTTCATGCATATGTAAAAATAAGTCCCTTCCTATGATTCTAACCATCAAAAGTTCATCGACAATTTGATGCAACATTTCAAATATCAATCTTGATCATCATGGAGAGAGATATATAGACAAACAGACAATACACACATATAAACACAAA